TCATTCACACAGACGGACAGTCCTGTGCAGTTCTGGAGATGACAGCTCCTGATGTTTCTCTTAATGATGCTTCTATTCATGGGTGTAATTGACACATTCAGAGTCTTGTATAATGTTTCAAATGGACGTTTCACAGCCCAGAGCCTTTTATTTAAGCAGCAGCTGACCGCGTCCACTGAAATTATGGCCCACTTACTCAAAAGAATAGAATAGAACTCGAGACTGAAGGATTCTTTTCTGTGGTCTGTTTTAGCTCTTTGGAGACTTGTCATAATCATTATGTTATCAGCTGCATTTGTGGGATTGTTTCTAACTTCCAGAGGCAACTTTCAGTGTGGGACTAAACCTCCACAAATGTGAAAGGTTTATGTTGTGTAATGTAGAACACTACACTACACAAAGTAATGTAGTGTTCTATACATGCAGAACACTACATTATGTGGTGTTCTACATGTATCTCTATTGGCGTCTAACTTGAGTAACAGCACTTCATACAGAACAGTGCCTCAGTTTGCTTCCCAATGTTGATGACATCAGCTCCAAAGTATCAATAGACGATAAACAATTATACTGAAACTAATTCATGCCACTGACACAAAAACCCTCAAACAGGATTATCCCCAAAGAACTCTTCTAAATTTACAATATGGTTAAAAAATCCAAAGTGCAATAAATAAATAACAGTATGCAAAAGTCTATGTTTGCATCTATAATGAGTCATAGAAGTTCAGAACTCAACTTTCTACATCTGATTGTATTGCCAAAAAAGAACCATTGATTTACTACTAGTGCAAAGATAAGGTTTGGTTCCATCTGTCTTGTGCTTAACACTAAGTCGATCTCGTAATTATGGCGACAGGCCTGGTCTCGTCAGATCTCAGAAGCTAAGCAGGGCTGGGCCTGCTCAGGACTTGGACTAGAGACTGCCACAATGGGGCGCTAGTGGCAAAACTGTTGTGTCTTTAGGCAAGACACTTCACCCACATTGCCTTGTATGAATGGCAATGTGGGTGTGTGTATTTGTGGGCAGGGCAGCTGTGGCTACAATAGTATTTTACCAAAATAAAACACATATTTTTGTAATTTATAGTATAACATAGTATAAATACAACACATATTTTGGTAACAAAAAAGTGAATGTTCCAAGATTGTTGATGTAACATCCAAGTCAAGTCCAGAATCTTTGTCCACATAAATATATTGAAAATCTAGGGGTGGAAAGTAACTAATAACAAATACCAGTACTTACATTGCTGTAAATGAGTACATTTTTGGGTAATTGTCCTTTTTTGAGTAGATTTTTAAACCTAAACTTTTACTTGTAATTGAGTATAATTCAAGCCATGTAATTGTAATAGTAATTGCATCTAAAATCATTTAAATACTGTGTAAGTACACTCCCAGTCCACAGCTGTCTCACCTCTGTTTATTCTTCTCTCTAAACCAGCAAAACATCGCAGCTCTGCATCTGCTCGGACTGGACAGAGCTCAGAGAAATACCCTATGTGGATTGTACCATGAATTATTGCACAGGAAATTTGCAGTACTCTTTCCACCACTGGCAAAAACAGGTCTTTGTATTAAAATATGGGTTTAAGATAATGTTCATGTATCATCAAGTTCATCTAGAAATAGGTTTACTCAGATTATCCAGCTTTAGAGTCACATTTTTGTACGTGCTTTTGAACGGTAACTTGCCATACAGAAATTTAAATGTGGTCAGACGCCTCCTTGGCTCCAGGTTAGACTCAGGACTCATCAGGGCGCAGAGACAGGACAGCACCAGAGTCTGGAGAAGGGGAGGGGTATGTTATCATGAAATTTAAAGGTCTTATATTACAAACTGACTGTAAGACATATTATAATGTATCGTCATCTCTTTAAAAACAGACCTGGAGTTGTGTTTAGTTTGATTCACATGTTTGAGTAATCCTGCATTATTAGTCTGTCTACATGTCTACAAATGCTCTGTTCCACCTTGTGATGTCATGAAACGGTGGTTTTCATGTTAAAAGCTCATTTTACCTTTTGGTTAGAAGAGATTGGAAACTCCTGAACTGAAATTATGCAAATGATTCAAGTGAAGGTGTATGGAGTTTAAAAACACAGTAGAGCACTTCCTGTATTACCACGACATCACAAGGTTAGGGTGACCAGTTGTCTCTATTGACCTGAGACAGTCCCAGTTTTGAGCTCTCTGTCCCCTGTCCCAGAAGATTTACACAAAACCAGTGATTTGTCCGTTTTATGCAAAAAAATGTTCCAGATGTCTCTATTTTTGACCAATCTGATCTAATCTAGGACTAAATTAAGATTAACCAGGACTACATATTATCTAAACCAGGACTAAAACAGGACAATCACCATTTTTTACTAATCTCATCCCTGCCAACAGTAAAGAGGAGCATGAATTATCATTTGTTTTGCCAAAATACAGAAATCCGTGTTTGCAAATGACCATAAAGCAAAAAAAAATGCAGTGACAGATTATGACTGACACAAGAATGTACAATGTTACACACTCTTTTCATTATTTTATTTATACCAACCATCCCAACCCAGTTTAGAATTTTGAAAATCTGGTCACCGTACACAGGTTGGAACAGCACGTTTTCAATTTATTGAAATTTGAATTTATTTGTTTGGAGGGTAAGCCCCTTGAGATGTCTCACCATCTCGTTTTCAAGGGTGCCCTCATAGTCACAACAACAGACAGATCCAGTAGGGCAGACAGGAGGCTACATACATTCAAATAAATATAGAAAAAACTAAACAACAAAATCACATGACTGTGAATAAATGACATTTGAACAAAAACTAAGACAGAGGTCAAATATAGTCACAAAATACAACAAAATACAACAAGATGAACAACAAAATTCAACAAGATGATCAAAAACAATTACAAGGGTTTTGCAAATATTGTAGCAGAGCATTTTTAAACAAAGGGACAGAAGTAATCGATGAGGGAAGATTGTTCCAATCAGAAGGAGTTTTATATTTAAATGAGTGTTTTCCTATTTGTTTTTGACTCTTGGGATGACAAAAATATCTGATCTATGTGGTGTAAACTGTAAGAGGATCTGAATGGAATTAAATATGTTTGAGGAATTCGGGATAACTGAGGTGAATACATTTAAAGATAAATAATAACCAGTGATGCTGACATCGAGAGAACAGAGTGAGCCAGAACAGTGAACAGAACAGAACAGTGATACATCACACAGTGGTGAGTTCTGAAGGGACAGTGAAGAATCAACCTGCACAGACTGTTCTAACGTTGAGTAGTTGGAGGATAGAAGTTGTGGTATTTTGGTAAATGATATCACAGTTATCTAAAATGGGAAGAATTAATTGTGGCATAATATCTTTCCTTAGAGAAAAGCTAAATTAAATGATGGACTGGTAAAGTAATTGTAAGTGGTATGAAATTTGGTTTGTAATGGTTTGTATGTGGGCGCTGAATGAGAGAGACGGGTCAAGCCATAAACCAAGATATTTAAATGCTTCAACAGCTAATTGGTGATGAATCAGTAGATTTATGTCATTAACAGAAAAGGGACAGATTCGTTTCTGAAACAGCGTGAAATATTTTTTTTAGATTTATAAAGTAGTAATTAGTTAGGCCGTAGCCATAACTGAACAGTATTAAAATTATGCTGAATAGTGGATTGAATATCAGTACAATATTAGCTTTGGATGAATAAATAACTGTATCATTGGTTATTTATGAGAGAAGAACTAATACCTAAGCAGTGTTTGTGTGTTAAACATGTGTGAATGAAACAAAACACAGCTCCAGGTTTTGTGATAAGGAAACATTATAACATAAACAGTGTTGGGGAGTAACAGATTACATGTACTGGAGTTAAGTAATCAGAGTACAAATTATGAGTAACTGTATTCAGTTACAGTTACAGTTTCAGTGGGTGGTAATTGGATTACAGTTAATTTGCTGAAATAAATAGATTACACGGTGGTAATTTCCTGTTTTCCTATTATTTTTATTTTATTTTATTTTATTTTTTTTGATAATTCCACTCATTGCTGGAAACTAAACCAGGTCTAAACCAGGACTAAATCAGGACTAAAACCACATCTAAACCAGGACTAAATCCAGGTCTAAACTAGATCTAAACCAGGACTAAAACCGGGTCTAAACTAGAGCTAAACCAGGACTAAAACCAGGTCTAAACTAGATCTAAACCAGGACTAAAATCAGGTCTAAACTAGATCTAAACCATGTCTAAACTAGAACTAAACCAGGACTAAAACCGGGTCTAAACTAGAGCTAAACCAGGTCTAAACCAGGACTAAAACCAGGTCTAAACCAGGACTAAAACCAGGTCTAAACTAAATCTAAACCAGGACTAAAACCAGGTCTAAATTAGATCTAAACCAGGACTAAAACCAGGTCTAAACTAGAGCTAAACCAGGACTAAAACCAGGTCTAAACCAGGACTAAAACCAGGTCTAAACCAGGATTTAACAGGATTTAAGAGGACTAAACCATGCTGCGCGGACATGTCTCCTCCTTTTCTATCAATAATATTTTTAATACGGTTAAGTATCCTCGTCTTTGCTTCTCTACAGCAAATCAAGTAATCCAAAGTATTCAGATTACGTTACTCACTTTAAGTAATTTAATGGATTACGTTACAAACTACATTTTGTGGTATGTAATATGTAATCTGTAGGGGAATACATTTTAAAAGTCACCTTCCCAACACTGAACATAAATGAGAAAAAAGCATAATATGGGCCCTTTACGTGAAACTGTCAAAAAAAAAATTAGGAAAAATAAGTGATAATTCTACAAAAAAGACTCATGATGAAATGCGATCAGAGGCATTAAAAATAGCAGTTTTGATTCAGCGTTGCTCTTCTCCTAATTATAACTTTCCCTCTTCCATAGCCACACCGCCCGGCCGTGGTGAGCCCTCCCCGGATCAGCCCTCCCTCCCCCGGCTCAGCTCCCCCTCCTCCGCCGCTCTCTGGACCAGCGCTGGAGCCATATTGGAGCTGTTTTTCCTTCGGGGGACTATTCCACAGGTGGCCGCCGCGTTGGGACTAACTTTTCTGGGCTAAAACTCACTCAAAACCCAGGTACCAGCTCTGAGATCACGTCCAAACCAGTCCGGTGAGTCCGAGCCGAATAAACACGATTAAACCCGGGGAATTAGCGGTTAATAAGTCCGGCTGCCCACTTCTACTTTTCCCACTGAGGCTAACAGACGCTAACTAAGCAAAACAACACACCAAACATCTCATTTTACTGAATTTAACTTATAACACGCACAAATATAGACTTTAAACGTTGTACTGCTTAAGTTGGATTTCAAAACGAGCAGTTAAAGTGGAGTTATTTGATAAAATTGTAGTTTGAATCTTACGGAGTGGAGTTGACAGTTGGCTAACTTTGGAGCTAGGTTGCTAATGCTAAAAAGTTGGACGCTTGACTGGAAACTCGACTAAAACATACAAAAATCTACGTTTTTTCAGATTATGTGGATTTAACATGTAGGGTGTGCGTTTTGTGTGCATGTTTGGGTTATTTTGATTGCAGAATCAGATCACGCAAAGATACAAAGCTGGTAAAATGTTGTGAAAGTATCTTAAATTACACTTTTTTCCTTGGTTTTGGCCTTGCGCACACCTGAGCCGTACCTGTGTGACCACGTGACTCAGCCCGGCGGCTTGGTGGAAGGGAGCAGGGATCCTGGCACAGTTTGGCACAGTTTAGCACAGAAAAAGGGAAGTTTGTCTCAGCTTGTCTGCGGTGTGAAGGGCAGGGACCACAGCGCTTTCTCTAATGACATTCTCACAGTGTTGAGACAAGCCTAAACTCATGATTACGCACAATAGCTGGGTAGTTGAAGCACTTAAACAACACAGTTTGAAGAAACAGAACTACTATTACTGCGGGAAGGGCTCTCAAATCTGTCCTAAGAGGGTGTTTTCTAGAAATGATATTTTTTAAGTAAATGACATGATTATAATATACGTAATGTAAAGCCAGATGTCGCTAAGTAACATTAAATTATATCCCAATTTATATTTTCAGAGCAGCTAACAAAGAGTTTTAAATGGATACGCCTATTTCAACATCAGTTGTACAATCATTAAATTATATACATGTGTCACTCTACAAAAATATCAAGCTCGGTTTAAGTGTTTATTTAAATTGAAAATGACTTAGTTGTTTATTTTTTGTAGATTTTTTTTGTTGATTATATATATATATATATAAAATATAGTTCTGCGAGTTTTGTGTCAGACATGGAACAATGTCATGATAAATATATATATATATATATATATATATATATATATATATATATATATATATATATATATATATATACATACATATATATATTTCACTAAATATGAATTATTTTATAACAAATAAGCTGGTAATAATCACGTAATAATATTTTTCTTTAATAATAATATTTTTTTATTTTTTTTATTTTTTTTCAGAATCATGGATGACAATATAGTGTCCGTAGACAATGATTTTAAAGTCCTAAAATGTATATATATTTTTAACATAATAGATACTTCTAACACATTTTTCAGGAAATCTCAACATTAGAAGTGAGGAGAGATAAAGTTAACCTCAGGACAGTTTAGGCCAGCAACAAAACTGCTGCTTTTTTTTTTTTTTTTATCCAAGTGTGAGTGCGGAGCAGAGAGGACTGTCCCCACAGACAGAGGACTGTCCCCACAGACAGAGGACTGTCCCCACAGACACAGAACTGTCCCAGAGGACACACACAGCTGTCAGTACCCTATTTTAGCAATCAATGAGGACTTTACTAAAGTATCAGAAAAAGCAATCTTAAAGATACTTTTGAACACTGTTATTGAAAATTGTAATTTTGGTTATGTGGAGCAAGTAAAAAAAAAGAAGAAGAAAATTTGTCCTCTGCATTTGACCCATCTGAGTTAAACTTGTATTTGACCCATCCTTCAGTGTCTGGGTTAAACTTGTATTTGACCCATCCTTCAGTGTCTGGGTTAAACTTGTATTTGACCCATCCTTCAGGGTCTGGGTTAAACTTGTATTTGACCCATCCTTCAGTGTCTGGGTTAAACTTGTATTTGACCCATCCTTCCGTGCCTCTCTGTTGTCAAGTGCATTGGGACCTGTCTCTAGATCTTGAGTTAGTCTCGGTCAGGTCTCAGAACTACCTTAACTTTAAGATTTGACATACTGTGCTTTTGTTTTGGGTTGAACCAGGACCCTCCTTTTTGCTGTGAGGCGACAGTGGTGTAGTAGTATAGTGCTGTATTTGGTTTGTATTGCAGATATTTCAAAATACCACGTGATTTCCTATGACAAGACCAGATTTAGTCAGAACTAAACGTGTTTGACAGTACAGGGTGGAACATAGTTACAACACAATATGGCTTGTCTTGAGTATTCTGGGTGAGTAGAAGAAGTATCCTTCCTACAACCCATCTCTATAGTTTTCAGATTAGGGGAGTACTCGTTTACATTTATTTGAGTAACGTTTGAAACAAATTGTACTTCTCAGAGTATTTTTCTAGCAGCATACTTTTACTTCTAGTTGTATAATATTTTTATTGAAACAACAGTGCTCTTATTTAAGTAAAAGGTGTGGTTCCTCTTCCCACAGGGAGTGAGTCTAAAGTAACAAAAGTTTTATGGGACAATCTGAAATGATTTGAACATTTGTGTTTCTTGCAGCTCCTTCACATCTGATTTAGTTTGTCCCATTGTTGTGCCTGTCCTTTGAAAACACCTGATTTTGTGACTTATTTAAAGTTCTGTCCTTCAGATTACATTAACTCTCTATTATATATCAGATGTTTCAACCCAACAGTTACTCTTTTAAGTAAATTTTACTTGTAGGAGTTTTTTTTTAAATACATTTTTACACGTATGTGAGGAATTTCTTGGAGCACTACTTTGTATTTCTAGTAATATTATTTTGAAGTAAGTCTTAGTCTTACTCGTACACTTTTTGGCATCTCTTTCCCCTGGTGATAGTTTAAAGAAAATGTGTTACTTGTGGTAAAAAAAAAAAACTCGTTTGAAAGGTGATATGATATGTTTCCTTTGAACCTGCTCTAGATTCTTATCTGTACCTTTGCAGATTTGACTCTGAGGTGAAATCAAACTCCGTGGTTGTGTTTACCTGCTGTAGTTCACTGTGATGTCATCGGTCACATGACGTTGAGCTGCATCACATGTTCAGATTCCAGTGTCTCCGGTGCAGTCTCAGGTTTAAGCTCATTATCTTTCTCCAAAGTGCCGATTACAAAGCTATTCCTGTTCACCATGGAAAGAGTGGAGAGAGCTGTCTGCTCTTAGCTTTCTGTCTTGGTTTGGTGGGCTAGTTGCCTGTGGTCAATATTTACCAGAGCTGTGCATCAGTTAAGTGGCAGTTTGCAAAATAAAATAAATACATGAAGTAATCGTGCTGAGTTCTAAAACTATGTCATCAACACTGAAAAGTCCAGCCAAAATGCAAGGACAGTTTACAAAAGAAAGGACTTTTTAAACCTTCAGTTTAAACCTTCATTTCACAAAATACGTCTGATTTATGATTTATGTTTATCATAAGTAGCTTATGCAATATAGACAAGTTTTTGTTTATGGCATGGTTGCTAGGTAATTGTTAATTATTAGTCTTATCTCTGTTGCCTTTAAAAGGATAGACTTCATGAAAACGAAACACTTGCATATAATGATATTAACTATGTTTTGATGAAATAATGTTGCCAGGCAAATCCAGAATAATATCTCTCTATGACACTAAGGAATCGACTTGATACTCTGTACTGATTCTGATACTATAATGATAATAAAAACACTTTCTTTAGACAATAGAATATGATTTTCAATATTTAATAGAAGTACTTTCTTTTCTCTTCCATGGGTTTTATATGTGTAATGTGTAATGGTCAGTGGTGCAGTAGGTTCTTGTTGGTTCATACTATACATACTAGACTGTGTGCTCTTCTGATTTTTCTGATCCACAACAACATTATTCTAAAGATTTTCAGGAAAGGTTCATTTCTGTCCTGTCAGTGGCACTTTTTTGTAGTGATACCAGCTCAAATGAGGATCTACTTTCTTTCGATTGTAGTTTATTGGTTAGTATTTCTCCATCTCATAATAATAATAATGGATTCACAAGAGAACAGCAGAGTTACCAATTGTAATAACTTTTAGAGGAAAAATTTTTACACATTTAAAGATTTTAGGTTTTGTGTTTTTGTACCTTGTGTTTTTACTTAAACCCAGAGACATGATTGTAACAGAGATGTGGTTAAAAGAAGGGTTTGTAATGACTGGGCAATGACCATGTAATGACAAAATTGTTGAGAAAAGAGTGAGAGCATTTCCAAAGCTACTGCTGTTGCTACTGTTTTTTCTTTGTTTATCAGCGCTGGTCTAGGCCTGGTTTAGGCCTGGTCTGTGTCTGGTTTTGACCTGGTTTAGAACTTTTTGTTTTGTCTTGAGTGAGTTCTGAGTTCCTCAGCTGCAGTGAATCTTGCTTGAAGTTTCAAAGCCAAACGTTTGTTTTGAGATGATTGCAGATTTAGAGGTTTATGACTTATAAACATGCTTGAGGCCACAGACCACATGCAAATAGAACTGTGAATACATTAATAACTGTTTAATTCCAACCACAATGAGGAAATGCCATCTGCCCCATGATAGGATCATGCAACTTCAACCTGAGCTTTATTTCAACACAGTCTGACCAGAAACAACTGACTTAGCTGAACTACAAGTGAGCTGATGTGTGCTGTTAAACAAGTCTCTCACATTTTAAATTACAGGCACAATCATTAGCATTAAGCAACACATTTTCAGTGACTCACTCTCACCTTTTAGTTGCAAATCAAACTCCTAAACAGGACCATGAAAACTCGCACTGATCACAGGCTCCTAAAAATGTACTGTAGTTTTTGGTATCGTGTCCAATGTGTCACAAACTGCTGAACATTCCATCATAGACATCCATGTAGAACACTGGCAGGATCAGGCCTCTGCTCTGAAGCAGATGAGCGGTGCTTTTGGCTGTGGAGCAGGCCGAGTGCAAAGCAGTGTTTCACTTGTGTGAGTCTGGGAGACACTTTCTCTTCCTCTTTTCTCTG